ATTATTAGTTTTAGTGAAATTAACGACTCTGAAAAGGGAGAAATATAGACAAACATTGGCTGGTTACTTGGCTTATGTCGTCATATTATTTTCATTTCTTTATGACTATTATATTTATGCCCTTCATATGTTTGTTGTTGTTTTTTTTTGTGGGGGGGTTAGTCATAATTATATTTAGGTTTGTCATAGAAATGTCTTGTTATGTCATATGTTATTACTTTGCTCTTGTGTCAACATAGGTGAGTGTCATAAGTGCTTATTCACAGAAAATCGCAGGTATGTTCTGGCTTACACAGAAAATCATGTTATGTCACATTGTAGGAACTGAACTCTGTCAAAAGTTGAAGTCTCCCTGTAGTCTAAAAGGATAAAACACATCACACACACACACACACACAAAAAAAAAAATTCCCATATTCTCATTAATTTTCCTAACATTGTTCTGGTATATAAAAATTTATATTTAATCTCTATCTATAAAAGGCAGGATGTGTGTGTGTGTGTGTGTGTGTAACGAATGCATGGCCGCAATATTCGATGAATTTGCACCAAAATTTACATGCACATGCTTCAAGTTAGTGAAAAGGCCAAGACCAACTTTGCATTTCCCAACTCCCATCGATAGTGGAAATAATCGATTTTTTTTTTTTTTTTTTTTTTTTTTTTATGCTTCTACGGCAGTTTTCATGTAGTTTGCTGGCATTTTGTACTGGCCAAAGTGAGAGCCTATTGCTGGCTGCCACGAATAGGCAGGAAGATTCTATTAGCCAGCATGAGAGCCAACAGCTGACTGATGCGAAAGTTAACTAGCATGAAAAAAATCGATAGCTGCATTCGTCACAAGTGGGAAAAATTTAAATCTGCATGGCACTTTACTTCAGTTGGCTCATTTGCTTGCTTAAACTCAACGTTGATTCTGATTCCGCAGAACTGGGTTGGGTATGAAAAAGTATTTGTTAACATTCTTTTTACATTCAGTTTTTCCAGTTATGAGTCCTTTTTTAAAGCTGATTGTTTTGTGTTCATTTTGTTTAGTTCTTTTTTCGTAACAGATTTAATGTTTAGTATAGAGCTTAAAAAAAAAATTTAGTGTGAGATAGGCAAGAAGTAAGGCATGTAGCAACATCAGCATGGCAAAGGGCACTCCTTTAAAGGCAAGGAAGGGCAAAAAATTTTTAAGTCAAGTGATAGCGATTGCTGTATGAGTCGTATGATTTTTTTTTTTAATCAAGCATGGGCAATGCCGGGCCATGCTGCTAGTCTTTTTTTTTATATATATATATATATATATATATATATATATATATATATATATATATATATATATAGGATTAGAATCTGACAGAATGATATGGTAAGGAACAAATAGAAAATGTTCATAAATTTTATGTTTTGCTTATATTTAAGATTCATCAGAAAATAAAATATAATAATGTAACCAAAACTTGTTAAATTTATAAATGTTTCCTATTTGCTCCTATCATATATATATATATATATATATATGGTGGACTCTCCAGTCATATTTGACATATGAGAGTCAAGCAGCTCAGTTCCTACAAACTGACAGCTAGACACCAACACATATGATTTGATTATGGTGGTGAAGGCTTTGTGCAGAACCAACCACACTTTTTGAAGGGCTGAATAAAGAGACTTGGTGCACTCTGCAACTTTTGAATTCAGAGTTGTCCTTCTCCTAGACCAGTTGCCATCCAAGGCTACAGAACCCAGTCTATCCTGCTATTTACCCTTAGCTAGAGAGAGAAGAGGATTAATACCTTTCCCAAGCTTATTAGCACGTAAGTGAATGTAATGGATTTGACTGGAATTTGAACTTGGCCTCCTATTCCTCAATCCGAGCCACTATCCATTACTCCACCATGCTTCCTCATATATATATATATATATATATATATATATATATATATATATATATATATATATAAAAAATATAAATATATATTAAAAAATATAAATTTCTCAGAGTTTTTTTTATTCATTTGGTTTCTCAGGAGGAGCCGTTTTTTGTTTTGGAATATTTTATGGGCTTTTTGTTTTGCATTTTGTAACTCCATCACTAGTAATAATTGTCATGAAAAATACATAGGAGAAACCTCAAGGAATCTAAATAAAAGATTATATGAACACAAAACAGACATTTTACAAAATACATCAAATGCATTGGTTGCCCACCATGACGAGACTGACCACAACTTTTACATAAAAATGCTACTCTGATCAAAGGAGAAAATAACTTGCTACAATGTAAATGTCTATTTTGTTCCACTTTGTCATACAATTTCCCCATATATATATATATATATATATATATATATATATATATGTGTGCCACATTTTCTTCATTAAGTTTTGTTGAGTGCACAGACTGGTAGGTGAAATAAACACTTAAACCAATGGAGTGTCTACTCAAATATGGGTATCCACTAAAAATGTTTTAAGTAATGTGTGTGAGGAGTACTGAAAAGAAGTTCTTTTTATTTTTTTTCATTTTAGTCCTACTTAGTTGAAATAAGAACTTTTCAATCACATCATTAAGTACACAGCCTACTAAGAAAAAAAAAAACAAAAGTATTCATTTTTATGAAACAAAAACTTATTTTTCAATACAATCTACTTCCTGCCTTGTCAATGCACTTAATTCAATGATGAATATTATTTATATACATTTAATATTATCCAATAAAAAATTTAGATCCATTTTCAAGCTACAGACTTATTGATGTATTATTGTTTATCTACATTAAATCCTGTATATGATGAAAAGTTCTCAGCCTGAAACGCTTCCAAAAATCTGAACAAGCATCAGTTTTTCTTTTAAGATCTTCACTGAACTTTTCAACACCTCAGATATAAGTGCATCCGAAAAAAGATACTTACAGTGTAGCAGAAAATAGAATATGTAAAATTAATAAATTATTTATACACACAGTAATTTGCAATGAAGTTAAATTTAATGCAGTTGCTTTTATCTTCTTTAAATCAAGAAGCAGATTTAAACTTCAGCAGAAACATCATAAAGTGAAAAACAACTTCAAAAAGATTTGCCAATAATAGTGAAAAATTCTTTTTTTTTGTTGTTTGTTTTTTCTTCTTTTTTTTTCTTTTAAATTCAGCAAAAAATCTTAGAGAAGTAGAAAATTAATAAAATTAGCATTTTGCTGATTTACTCTGTTGGCTTTCTGTTGTCAAAAGGAAAGATTTATTGGTTTGATTTTTTTTTTCCTTTCTTTAATCCTGTCGTTCTCATCTATGCCGTTTCTTGTTCAGTTTTCATTCAGCAGATTTTCTACATGATATTATGGTTATATTTTGATATTTACAAAGCTTACCTTTGTATAGCACAAAAAACATGGTTGCTAAAAAGATTGAGGGACTCCAGTGTTGCTTGAATTAGGGAATTTTATGAGCTGGGGGGCTATAAAAAGCAATAAATTTACATTAAAATAGTTCAATTTTTTTTTTTTTTTTTTTTTACCAGCTGATGCACTTTTTTTTTAGAGTATTACATTTTGAGAGTATATTATACAAACTACAAAATTTTAATGGTTTTTCCTAACTTTAATTTTAAAGTCATATGAGAAAAAAAAATAACTTTAGTATGAGCCTTTTCGAAAACTAGCCTAATTTACTACTATTTAAACTAGTCCAATCAGGCAACCCTTGGACTACCTGCTTGCATTAAAACAAATATCAGCTTTATAAATCCAAATGATGACCAAGAAATAAGGTTTCCAATCTTTCAAACCATTTTTAAATGAAACAGAGCAATGAAACTGGTATAAAAATAATGTCACTTTATTTCTCTTCAAAATTACAATGATCAATTGATTGATTGATTGATTGATAAGTAAGGTCTCTCATCCCATGCCACAAGTTTTATACTATATAGAATAATGAAACTGGTATCAAAATGAAGTCATTTTATTTCTCTTCAAAATTACCTGGGTGGTTTTCCTAACATTTCGTTTGGCCTGATTTTTTTTGTTTAATATTTTTTCATTTTTATTTCCTCTTTTCAATATTATTCCATTCTTTTCTCATTTATTTTTTTTTTTTTATCCAATTGTGCACATCAACTTCAATGTCATAGGACACCTTACTTATTAATCAACTCTGCCTGGGCTTGAACACTGACCACTGGCAAGAAATACAAACTGCCTCAAATATGATTAGCTAAATACTGTCCAAAGCAATATGTGGATAGGAAGATTGTGTTGTGTCAATCTTCTAACACTAAATTCTGACACTCACCAGTGGTAGTCTTTGTAATGGCAAAGGGTATTTATGATGTTTAGATGAAAAACAAAATGGAAAACATTAAAATGTTCACATTTCTGATTGCATAGATAAACTAATATCTATTTATAATGAATTCATTGATTTTATTTTTTAATCTGACATATTTCTATTATTTCAAACAATATTTTTAGTGGACATCTACATTTGTGTAGACACTCCATTTTACTTTAAACAATATTAATTTCATCTACTGGCCTGCAGGCATGAGAAACCTAATTAAAGAAAATGTTAAATCAGATTAAAAAATAAAATCCACTAATTCTTTAGAAATTGCTTTCTTTACATTTTGGATACAAAACAGGGCAGATATGCCATTTTGAGAAAATCTGAATGATTGCATGCAGTTTCAAAGCAAAGGTTGATTGATTTGTTTTTTATGGCTTATCAACCCTTTGCAGGTTATTTAAAGCCTGAAAATATTTTTAGATTGTAAGAATTGTTTTTAGTTTTTTTTTTTTTTTTTTTTTAGATAATAATGGTTTTAAAAAAATTCTTACAATCTAAAAATATTTTCAGGCTTTAAATAACCTGCAAAGCCATAAAAAACAAATCAATGGTTTGATAAGCTGTAAAAAAAAAAATGAATCAATCAATAAAATACACACACGTTTATTTACAACTTTTTCCAGCTCATAAATACAAATCTTAAAAGAAATACTTCTTCTAAAGCCACATCACATTGAAACACTGGTTCCTGTATGATCACCAAAGTTAAGCAATGTTGAGCCTTGTCAGTACCTAGATGGGTGACTGCTTGGAAATATCAGGTACTATAAGCTTGGATGTGCAGGTGGTGTAATAAATAACAAGAGAGTTCCAATTTCATTTGGGTTTTTTATTTGGGAAAGGTATGAATCCAACTCTTCTCCCCCCAGCTATGGGTTAATTACTAAGACTTGTATAACTAAAGCAATTATTATCCCTCCCCTCCACTATAAAAAATTGCATATGAAATATTTACATTTCAGCATTAAATGACTCATAGAGGTGTTGATATGCCACTAAACAAAAAGAACCAACCAAAAATCTAATGGATAAAAAAAGCAATTTTTAAAGTTATTTTCAAATCTTGTATATTTTACTTTGGATATGTCAAGGCTCAACTCCATCTTTCTTTAGTTATGGATTAAATGGTAGAAGAGATTATGATCTATTGCCTTTGTAGAGCAACCTATCTAGGAGAAGGACAGTTCTTCTTTTATATGTGCCATGTACCTTCAGGACGTAAGCAATCATGGCTCTCCACAATTTTCTGTCCTTTGTAGCTCTTAATAAAATTTGTCTTTTATTTCTCCTAAGTCTTGTTCCACCATCCATTTACTCAAGCTCATTCTTTTTCTTCTATGTGCCATGTACCTTCAGAACATTGGTGATCATGTCTCTCCACAATTTTCTGTCCTTTGTAGCTCTTAATAAATTTTCTCTTTTTATTATTTCTCCTAAACCTTGTTCCAACATCCATTTACTCAAGCTCACTAGGTATGTTATGTGTTGTTTTCCTTTGTTCATCTTGCCTTCAATCTGTGAGTATCAGATTTTCTAAACCCTCTTTCCTCATTATGCACCCTAGAAATTTCAACTGTTACTTCCTGTTGTTAAATATACTGAATTCAAAATCAGAAGAAGGGATGGTGTCCATCTGGTTTCGTTACCTGTGACATACCCAGTGCAGGTATTTTACTTTACAATGGGAAGAGTTTATTTAGTGATATTGTTTCATGGTAAAAAACATTTAATATTTTAATATTAATACGAATGGAGATGTCTACTTTTTTCTTTCTTTTTACTATTATTTTTTTTTTTTTTTTTTTTTTTTTTTTAAAGAAAAATTGGATGATAATTATAATCTTGATAATGTATGACTGATTTTAAAGCTTTTTATTATTACAAATATTTATTTTTAATATTCATCATGACTGAAAAAGAAGACATAATTGCATGATATTTAGAATGAAGCATATTTGCAATATGAAGAAAGGTAAAAAAAATAATTTCAACTAAAGCTTTCGTGCATTTGTTTGCAATGATGTACATAAAAATTGATATATATATATATATATATATATATATATATATATATATATATAAAGTTTATTTTTAACAAGTGTTTTTATTTATATTTTGATAAGAACAAGAAATACTTGAAAGAATGATGAAGCAGATAAAAACAAAAAAAATGGAAATTCCTTTTAAGAAAAACATTAACAAAAAAATCTCTCTCAAAAGATTGAACTGTGTTTGTTTTCTATTAAAAGATATCTCGTAAATGATTGCCAGGTATAGAGGGATTTAAAAAAACAAACCTGAAAACAGAATATTATTTCAGAAATAGAAGAAATTTGAGCAGAAGAAAGAAGAAAAGGAATTTAAAAAAAAAAAGAGGGAGAGAGAAAAGCTAAGAATATTGTATTTAAATGCATAGCTATTATTTCTGTTTTACTTGTCATTATCAACAACAATTCAGCTTTATAGTTGTAAGATTGTAAAGAGATGTGTTTTTGTTAGTGTTACATTCTATTTACTTTGTATTATCAGTGTTTAATGAGAGGTTGAAATTTGAATGTCTTTTATAGTATAACAAAAATATATTAAGTGCACAAGAATAGTCTGGAAATAGTTCTTCAAGGGTAGATGGAAACAAAGATTCTAACTAATGAAATCCATGTTTGTTCTGCATGAAAATCAGACTAAAAGACATGTTTATGATTCATTAAAAGGATTTCATTAAGGCTTATGGCTTTTGCTAGTCAAAATTAATATTAGATGTTAGAATTTTACAAATTCTTGCAAGTTAACAAATAAAAAATAAGCTGAAGGAATTTGTCAAAACTATAAAAAAAAATCCTGAAGTAATGAATAGATTTAATTTCAGAACAAAATGTCATTAACTAATTTAACAGCTAATGAACAGAACAACTAAACACATTGTGATACAAAGCAACAAAGAATAAGATATGTTTAATAATGAAAATACTTGTCTTATGGAGTCCTGGGTCTAACAATAAACTCCATCTGGTAGCAATGCCTCTGACCGAGAGATTGCAGGTTTTGATGAGCATAGTTGCATCTGTTAGGGTCCCAGTGATGGGCTAATAGTGAAAACACAAACAAAACACTATGAAAGCGTAAAAATACATTTTTATAGTAAAATTACCAACAATACATTTTTATATATAAAAAAATTACCCACAATGCAATTTTTAAAACAAAATAACCACCAATACATTTTAAGGCATACAATTACATTCTAAATGTATTTAGTTGAGGCCATCAAATGGTGTTCAAAATATTTAGATTTTGGCATTAAATAACCCTTAGAGGTTTTGATATGCCACTAAATAAAATCAACTTGTGCGTTTGTGTATGTCTTTTTCTTTTTAATCATTTACCCAATCAAGCCAATAAAATCGATAAGGGGTTACAATGTAAAAATTATTTTTTATCCTTTTTTAAAACTGGAAAATTTGCTAAAAATCTTGGGTTTTTTGGCATCAGTGTAGGAACATATGTGAAATCTTTTTTTTTTTTTTTTTGTGGTGAAAAATACATTGACTTAGAAATTCTTGCACAATTCATGTAATTGTCAGATTTTAATGAAATTTACAGGACTTCTTCACAAATGAATGAAATTATTTATGAAATGTTTCTTTTTTTAGCAAATCTTGGTAAATTTTTTTTTTTTTTTTTTTTTTTTTTACATCTGTTACCCCCAGTGTTATTTAATTTATGAAATTTTGAGAAATTCTTTTTCATATCACTTCATGTTGATGCTAGTCATATTCCTCACCAAATTTAAATCTTTAAACTTTTTTTGGTGAAACAGAATCCCTATTTACAGAAAATCTGCTTTGAATCATAAAATAAAAATCTAAAATATTATTTAATTAGAAAGGTTTTAATAACTTTTATGAATAAAATATATTATGGATATTCTTAAAAAAAATTTTTTTTTTTCGACAAGTAATGAATTTTTACAAGAATGTTTTCTTTTTTAAAAATTTTAATTAGCATAATTTATAAACTTTTAAAGCTTTGAAATTCTTTATTAATTTGTAGCGGTCAAGTAATATTGTTATTAAATTAAGGCTGTATTTACTAATCATAAATAGTTAAGCTTGCTAGAATTATTTTAAAAAGGATTTTGAATTTATTTTTTACATGTACAAACTTGTTGATTTTCATAAATACGGGCATCCGTACACAACATAAAAGAAGAGCAGTAACTATAGTAAATTTAAAATTTATTGATACTTTTCTAACATTTCCTCATCAAGTGTCTTCATAACTTAGACTATGAAGCCAATCTAAAATTCAGTAAAATACTAGGATGCTTAAAATATTTTATATTTTTAACATTACTGTGTAGTTAAAAAAAAATGGCATTTTTGTTGTATTCATGTAATTTTATTTCAATTATCTCTTACTTAAATTTTCCAACATTAGGCTGTTGATAGATCTGTCAACACCTCACAAAAAACACCCACCTCCATGTTAAAAATGCTTTTCTGATATTTTTAACTAAAAATAATACCTGTTTCAATTCAGATTAATTCCACGCAAAATCAGCTATTTTCCCTTTACTAATGATTAGTATAAGAAATTTTAGCATCTTTTTTGCAGTATAAAACCCTGATTTAGAAATTCTTGCAAAAGTCAGATAATTTGTGAATTTTAATGAAATTTTCAGGACTTATTCATGAATTAATTAAATTATTTTAGAAAATTCTTTCCTTTTTCCTTTCTCTTTTTTAGAAAGTCTTGGTAAAAATATTTCACCACTTAATTTTATGAAATTTCAAAAAATTCAATTTTCACACCCTTAATATTTATATTAGTTAAAAGCAGAACGACTTGCAGAATTTAATCAATTTTTTTTTAAACAGAAACACAATTTACCAAAAATCTGCTCTGTATTTTAAAATTAAAAAAAAGCAATAAAACTAAGACATTATTTAATTAGAAAAGCTTTTAATTGCTTTTATAAATAAGATATATTAAGGACATTATTGTCTTATTAAAAATATTTTTTTTAATGAATAATGAATTTTTATAAAAATTGTTTTTATTTTTTTTTTTTAATTTTAATTAGAATAATTTAAGTTTTAAATCTTTTAAAATTCTGTATTAATTAATCCCTTTTAGATGATATTATTAAGTAAAAACACTATTTACTAATTGTAAAGCTTTTTAAAAATCATCAAACACCAATATTTTTTAAAGAATTTTTTTTTTTTTTTTTTTTTTTATATGTGTATCAATGTGATGATTTTTGTGGATATTGGCGATCATACATGACATTTTCAGAAAATAACTATATTAAACTTAAAGCCAAAGTACCTAAAATTCAATAAAACATTTGATTACAGAGAATATTTTCCTAAATTTTTAAGATTATCTATTTAAAAATTATATTAAAAAGGCATTCATTTTATATTTCTCAGGTAAATATAAAACTTAAAGTAAGTAATATTTGTTTTAAATCAAATTAAATATACTTTAAATCAGCTAAAATTCCTCAAATATAGTTTCAGAAAAGTGTATTTTAGTTTTGGAATTTTTTTTTTTTAACAATAAATGCAGGCTAAAAATGGCACTGAAATCAGTTTTTATTTTATTTTTATTTATTTATTTTTTATTTATTTATTTTTTTATTTATTTATTTTTTTTTTATTTATTTATTTTTTTATTTATTTATTTTTTATTTATTTTATTTTTTTTTTTTATTTTTTTTTTTTTTTTTTTTTTGAGAAAAATTTTCCAGTGAATTTAAAT